CATCCACTCCAGGTGCCCCTCTGCACCATAAACTCCTACATTCCGACATTCAGCTGCTCCAGGGCCACACTGTCTCAGGCACCGGGCCTGCATTCAGCTCCTCACCATCAGTGCACAAAGAATCACAGACATTCTCCCCACTGGCAGGGGGAATAGCCTGTCAGCACTCCTCTGGGCTGCCGCCAGCGCAGGCCTTGGACCAGCCCCTAGATCCCGAGTCCATCCTCGGATCACTCGAAACTGGGAGACTGTTCTCCCTCCAGCTGAGCCAGATGGAGCCTTCCTGAACAAATTCCCTTGGCCTCATCCCCACTCTGCCCTCCAGGAAGGGGTTCCTCAAGGCCTCCCCACCCCACAGCCTCTGGCTTGGGGCTGGCTCCAGCTGCAGTTGAGGGTCTGGGCTGAGAGACTGGCCTCAGCCCATCCACTTGGGTGTGACTTGGTGTATACAGTGGGGGGCCAGGGCCCACGAGAGGTCACAGTGACTCCATTTCCTGTCTACTTGGCTAACTGTGGACACCTGGCCATGGCCTTTCATCATGGCATGTGTCCTGCAGTGATGGGTACTGTGGTATCAGCATTCCTCGCGTAAGACCTGCCTCTTTGTTGTCTCCTGAACTCAACTTGGAGGCCTGAGCCACCACAATTGGCCTCCTGACACCCAGGCCGGCCCAGTGTGGGCCCCTGGTCCTGCCAGCTGACCTCTGGGCGCCCCACCATAGCCCTCGGCCCATCCTGAATCTGATTTAAACCCACATCCAGCCTAAGGACCCATGAAAACAAACACAAACCCCACGAAACCGGTAGTGTGAGGAAACATCACACTTGTCTTCATCCACTGGCCACAGAACCTGGAGTTCTAAATGAGAATGAGGGGATGCTGCCTTCAACTTCCAACATGAACTTTCAAAGCCAATTGCAGCTGGGAAGGCAGGATGTTCGGGCCCAGGGATACTGCCATGCGTCCAGCTTCTAGCCGCCACGGCTCACCCCTGATTTATTTCACCAAAGCAAACATCTTGAAACCAATTGTCTCTAAGAAGGTTGATTTTTTTGTTTTCTGCTTTGTTGTTTTTTAATTGAAGCCATTACACAACCGGCGACAAGTCAGTTTCCGGGCGTTTCTTTATACACAGCCCACAGCTCTGCACATTTCAGAATTAAAAGTACTAACAGCGATTCTGTGACCCACCCTCATCACAGTGCTGCTCGATGCACGGCTTGTGTGTGCACGTGAACTTCATTCCCTGTGACCCGCACCGGCACGGCAGGCGCAGGGCAATGTCTACCTTATAAGTGCGTGCATGTGTGTCGCCGGCAGGGCCTGCCACACAGGTAGAGACCAGTAGGATCCCATGACCCAGGGGATCACAGGAACATGCCGTGTAGAGACGGGTCCACCTGCCCGGGAGAAAACCTAAACATGGGGCTGACAGGCCAACCCAACCCTTCTTTCTCAAGTGGCAGGTGAAAGCAGGGATTTAAATGCTATTTCTAGGTTGCTATTGGGACGACAGCACAGTATTCCCACCAGGCAGAAACAGAACATGGTGTCTCTGAAGGCTGGCTGGATCCTGCCCAAGCCCAGAGCCCACACATGAACCACGATCTCCCACAGAAGACGGGCGTCCTGGCCAGAGGGCTCGGCTCCCACTGGGACAGCACCGTGGACTCACTGTAATGAGAGTCACGGATCTGCACAGACCTGGGGGTGCCCCTGCCTCCCTCCTTCCTCACCCCAAGGATGACCTGACAAGGGCAGAAGCTGGGCCTCTGCTGCTGAGCCCGGGGTGCTGACAACAAACCCCACAGGTCAGGGTTCCTGGGGGTGCCAGCACCCAATAGTGCCGTTCAATTCAGGCAAACTTGCACACGTGGCTTGTGTCTGAACTACCAATCGGCTTTGGACCAGACTTGTCTCTACAGTTCAGAGTTAGAATTATTGCTTCTAGTGACAGAAGGTGTCTGGAAGCCCTGGTGGCTTCTGAGTCTGATAAACACGGCAGGCTCCAGTTGGCTGGGTCTGTGGGGGGCGTCCACTCTGCAGGACACAGACCCTGCAGAGTGGACCAGCCCAGGGTCGGTGGTCTGTGGAAGCATTTGGAAGTTTGGGCTGCATTCTACTCTACTGAGGTTGGGCACAAGAGGCATGCAAAGGTCACAAAGGGACACACAGGGTCATTCTATAGGGCAGCAGCATCGCCAAGCAGGAATCGATGCATGAGGACATCACACATCGGGCTCATGTGCGCTGTGCACACGGGGTTGGGCTTTTCCCTGTTTTGGTAGGAGGGAACAGGCAGCACCTGTAACTGGTGCACTATTTACAGAGCATCTCAAAATAAATAACTTAGAGAGAATCCTACTCAGAGGGCTCTAACATTTGTACATGAGTATTGTACAAGATTAAAAATAAATAAGGCGATATCATACAGTCTTATCACAAATGAAAGGAAGTGGTGTTCACCAAACCCAAGGAACATTATGGCTAAACCCGGCTCCTGCCCACAGGCAGCAAGTAGGGTTTGGAATTGCTGATGATGAAGGTGGTATCGCTCACTGAAGCAGAAACCTCGCTGTTTCCGAACAGTCGAGGCCCAGATGGGATGGCTTCCCACTGCTGCCGTAACAGGCGGCCTTGCACAACGCACGCGCATGGTCTCGCGGTTCTGTGGACCCGAGGGCCAGGCACGGTGAGGCTGGGCTGACGGCCAAGAGTCTCCCGGGAAGTCTGGGGTCACTGGCGGGGCTCTCCCCCCCGGACACTCGGGCTCCACCTGCCTCTGGATCACTCGAGTTGGTGCTGAATTCAGCGCCTGCGGTTGTGGGAGCGACAACCCAGTTCCTTGCTGGCTGTTGGCTGAGGCGTCCTCACCCTCGACCAACCACGGCCCCCCATCTTTAAACCAGAGATCTCATGCTGTGAATCGTGCTGACTGCCCTGCCTCCCTCGTCCACTTCTAAAGGGCCATGAGGTTACACTGAGCCCACCAGGATAGTGCAGGATCCTCTCCCCAGCTTACAGCCTAGGCCCTTAATTCCCTCTGCAAAGCCCCCTTTGCCATGTGACAGAGCATATTCAAAGGGCTGGGCCCCTTTCCTGCCCACCCGACCCCCGCACTGCCCTGGGCTGGGAGCTCAGCTACAATGAGCAGGCAGCAGCAGGGCCCTGGCAAAGGCCTCAGCTCTGCCGCCGAGTGTAGACGCAGGCACCCACGGGCAGAACCAAGAGCAGGCACCAGGCTCCTCAGGGCTCCTGAGATGACTCAGTTTCCCCTGAAGGAATCTTGCCACGTCCCTAAGGGGGGGTGGGGAAATTTGGCCACTGAGTCCTTCTCAACGGAGCCAGGGCTGTCACTGGCCCAGCATAGGGCTGGTTCTCAGGATGGAGGCGCCATGATGCTGAACCAGAACATGTCTGATGAAGGCCGTTCACCTGTCCACCTCTAGCCCGAGTCCACATCACTGCCCGTCCACAGGACCTGGTGGCCAGCCATGCTGGCTGCCCTGCAGAGCCCCTGGGCTGGCCTCCCCCAGGGACAGCCAAGCCCCTGCTGCCTGCGGGCTGCTGCCCCACACAGTACACATCTGGGCAGGAGTCGATCCACACCTCATACGCCCACGATGGGAGCTCCCCGGAGATGCCACCAGCCACTCCCATGGGGCTCAGTCCAGAGTGAGCCCCTGTTCCTGTCCTGAAAGGTCGGGACCCCCAGGGAGGGGGTAGAGCCCTGAGGATCAGTGAGGGGTGGGCCCCTCAGGCCTGCTGCTGTCTTTGACTGAGCAGGACTCACTTGCAGCCCACAGAACCCTCCTGGCTGTGCATCGGAGCTGTGGGTCTCAGCGTCCGTCTCCCTACTGACTTGCCCAGAACCTTCCCTCCAGTTTCAAGCTGCCTTCCTTCCTGCAGTCGAGACCTGAGGTCTCCACATACCAGGCCTTATCTGACTATTTCTGGCCAGTCCCTTCCCACTGGCTCTCCCGGACCCTTGTCCCCTCAACAGCACATCGTGGCGTGTCCTCAGTCTCCATCTCCACGGCGATGGTGGAGAAGCACATGTGGGATAATCCACAGAATGACCTGCAGTCACTTTCCCTACAAATCAGAGCAGGGACACCTGGATTTACAGCCATAAACTCACTCCAAAATGCTAAGTCCGGAAGGAACTGGTTCCGCCACAGAAACATCTTCCGTCAAGGAGACTGTCTCATGGTTGTGAAGTTCACTTGTTTTCAAAATCAATGCAGCCTTGCACTGCTATTCAACATTCAGGAACCCAAGACGCCATGGCCGAAAGGAAAGGTAAGAAATGACGCCAACCGTCTTTTCTCCTTTGAACAAACCCAGTGACGCAGGCAGAGAAGGGGAATGCCCAGGTTTACAGGAGCCGATGCCCTCAGGTGGGGTAGGTGGAGAGCGCACAGGCAGAAAAGGAACTGATGCTGGTCATGATTCAGAGATGTGGCTGCAGGGCCCTGGAGAATTCCAGAAGACCCGTCTCTGGCTCTTAGCAAAAAATTGCTCTTCAAGAAAGCCAGCGGCCACCACCATCTGTGTAGTGGGACAGGGGCTTCTCAATTCTCCCCGAACCATCTGTCTATGGCCCCGCCAGCTCTAGGTCTGGTCCCAGCCCTCATGGCCCTGCCAATCAAGGCCTGCCCCCTTCTCCAGGCTCCTGCAGGCCACTGCCCAGGGCTGGAGATGCCACGGCTAGACTGATGCGGATCCGTCTCAGGGCTCAAGACCAGCCAGGCAGACCTCGACAGCTCTTGCTGTAGCCTGCAGCTCTGGTGGATGTTCTGAAGGTCCCAATGCCCGATGCTGACCTGGCCAACCCCAGGGCAGCCTGCTCCCTCTGCTGCCGAGGAGAGGATGGAGCAAGCACGGCTGCCGTGAAGGCCTCATGTCCGTGTGGACGGGGTTCTCCCCTCACCTGAGTCACCGCCCAGCTGCTTTGGGTCCTGCCTGGACAGCGCCCCCTTCCCAACCTGGCTGCTGGCCCCCGGCCCTGCTCTGCTGGCCGGGCTGGTCCTTGTTGGAGCCCTGAAGGGCCCGACACCCCGAGCATTCATGCCCTGTGTCCCCAACGGCCAGCGTGGGCTCCGCTAAGCCTCCTTCCCAGCTGCTCCAGGGGGCAGGTGTGCGCCAGGGGGCTGGGCGGTGAGCCCAGAGCCCTGCAGAGCTGCCAGCCCGGCTGTGACCGGGAAGCCAGCCACGGGGGGCACTGGGGGACGGCCCGTGGCCTGTCTGGTCTGGAGGCCGGCTCTGCCATAAGGACACATTTTCCGCTCTGAGTTCAGGAATCTAGTTTGAGAGCCGTTTCCGTCGGTCCTGCCTTCCAGGAAGTACGTCAGCATCTCGCCCTTGCCCTTGACGCTGACCTTGCCTCGGCACACGAAGCGGTACGCGCCCCGCCGCAGCAGCCGGTGCACCTCCTCTGTCACCTGCAGCGGGGAAAGTGGGCATCACTCACGGCCAACAGGGGAGGACCTCAGAGTGGGAGCCCATGGAAGGTTCCCTCCTCCACCCGCCATGGTCCACCCCCCAGTCGCCGGGCTCCGGCCTCTCCGGCCAGGGCCTCTGCTCCTCCCATAGTCACTCTGCTGACTCTGTGAGGACGTGAACCTGTAGAGAGCCCAGGGGACTCAGAGAGGCCTGCCCGTTGGCCTTGGACAAGCAGGAGAAGGCAGTGTTCACCATAGGAGTGCCCTGAGCCGGCAGGTGGGTGGACAGAGCCCACCCAGTCTGGCACCAAGGGCTGGGGGTGAGCTGCATGGCCGCCCGCTGCTCTAGCCAGATGGCTGGACAGGACCCAGCTCCAGCCATGGACAGACAGGGCACAGGACTGGCTCAGGGCCAGGGGTCTCGGTATTCAGACGTTTTGCAGGGTCGGCGGACTGACAGCTACCAGCTCAGCTGGAGGGGACAGCAGAGAGTGGGGTCGGGGCAGCGCCTGGCTTCCATCCCCATTGCTGGCACAGAACCTCAGTGCCGGGGGTGGGGGTGCAAATCACCAGCCCGGCCTCGGAGGGCCCTGGCGTGGCGCCACTGGCACAGAGAGTGGGGGCACGTTTCCCAGAGACAACAGGGCATGGCTCACTCCCTTCATTCCCAGGTTCCCAGTCCATATTTCAGTTAGAAGAATTCTTGTGTCACCAAGTGAGAGAAAAGCTCAAGGACGAGAAAGCACTTTCTAACAAAGTTCTGTAAACGAAGAGGACACGATTGTTTGGTTTCTCCTCGCTTTGCCCCTTTATGTTGGAGGAGGAGACCACCTCCCTCCCTGTCTCCCAGTCTCCCTCCCTCATGCGGTCGCCCATCTCTGGCATCTTCTGTTAAAACAACTCAATCCATCCTGGGCCTACGCCCTCACGTCCCCTCCACAGGGCGTGTCAGTCCCCATACAGCTGGGCAGCAGGACCCACTCTCTACCCTGCCCACTGTGCTTGCACACTGCCGTTTTCGACGTGGCTCTTGCACTCACTGACAATCAGCCTGCTTCCTTGCACACACGCTGTCTAATCCCTCATGCACAGTTAGTGTCTCCACGCACACCTGGTCTGTCTCACCACGGCTGCTGAAACACGCGGCAGGTATTCGTAAGCGCTTGATGAATGAAAAAAGGCAGGTACAAATGAAGGAAGGAAGGAAGGAATGAGTGAGCAAGGGCAACCGACGCCTGCTGGGAACCTGTCCAGAGCAGCACAGAAAACAAAAATAACCACAAAGCATCAGAACCTGGACAGCTCCCAGGGCAGTGACATGTGCCGACAGATCCAAAAGTGCTGGGGAGAGGACCCGAGGCTCCCCCACGGAAAAAACAGACAAATCTGGCTGATCCACAAGTGTAGACAGGAGAGGAAGGAACAGAGCAGGCTTGACCTTCAGAAGGAGGCGAAGGATGCTATTATTCCCACGAATTAGTTAACACCAGCAATTCCTGTGGCTGTTCATCAGTGAGGCACTGGCTGGTGCCCTTGCAGGTGGGCCGGGGGTTGCATGGCATTCTGGAGCAAGTTCTGTGGCTCCTTGTTGGGCCTGCTGCTGCCCACTCATCGGGACAGAGCTTGGGGAGTCAGGACCGCCCAGCGGGGACAGGTGGGTGCCTGGGGCCTGGACCCTCGCCCTGTCCACTCTATCCCTCAGTGTCCAGCCCTCAGCCTCCCTCCCAGAACTTGTAAATGAGAAGAACGCCATCCATGTAGAGGAAGTGAACCCTGGTCAGCTTGACATGGAATGTTACACTCACAAGACTTGGACATGGCTCACTCCCCTCAAGACGGTCAAGAGAAAACGGGGGGTGCCGGACTCCCCAGGGTGCTGGCGAGCTAGCCCCAAAGCTGCCAAAGACCCGGATCAGGGCCACGCCAGGGCTGGAGCCAGGGCCTTCAGCCACACTCAGTCCCCCAGCAGGGCTCAGGGTGCCCCTAAAGTCCTGTGTGGAACTGAGCAATAGACTGGCCGGTTATAAAGGGAGACGCCATCGTCACAAACATCCGACTCAGATGTGGCCTCTTGGACACAAGGTGGCATAATGTACTGCAGTACGAGTCTCTGTGTGTTCTTTCCTTTCACAACTGAACCCACAATCCACCGGTTCAGAGAGATCTGTGCTTCCTGGCCCACGATGTCCAGCTTGAGCCCTGACACATCACACTGAGGGACCTGTGAGTCTTGTCGTTCGGGAGGGCCCCTTCCTTTCACTGTTTTCTCTTGTTTTTGGAAGGATGAGAGGTAATAAAATACCCAGGTGGCTGCATAAAGCAACGCTGGAGGTAAAATGATGCGTCATCCCATGCTGACCACAAGGGCACCACATGCAGCAGGGCCACCGTCTGAACGTGGGCAGGGACGGGTAGGGGGTCTGGCTGGCCGCCTGGGAGCTGGGCCACAGCCCCCGTGCCCTCTCAGCCTGGAGATGTTAAACCAGAAGTCCCAGGCAGTGAGTCAGGGCGTCACAACGTTACCATGGTGGGTCCTGGCGAGGGGCCAGGGCAGGAGCTCAGAGACACCAGGCCCCCAAGACGCCGAGAGGGCAGTCACGCCAGAGTCCCCCGAGAAGTCCGATTCTTGGCCAGCTGCATGACGGTCCCTTGTGTCTCCATAGCGGCGGGCTGGGAACTCTCCCTAGAGTCTCTGCGTGGCCCCCGGGGGGGAAGGACCTCCCTCACCCTGTCTGAGGGCGTGCTGGGCGCCCAGGCAGCATTTCCAGGGAAGTGTCTGCTCAGTCCCCAAGTTGACGGCAGAGGGGAACCTGATATCCTTGTGCTCAGCCTTCCCTGGTCGCCCTCACTCCTGGGAAAACGGGCCTTGAGATGTCCTGGAGGCTGTGGTCTCCTCTCCTGGGACAGAGGCTTGAGGAGGGGGTCTCCTTTTTTGGAATTTTGACACAAAAGAAGGAAGGTTCCCAGCAGAGGGCTAAGGAATTAGGGTTGGCGTGGGTAATATCTGATTAGATATTATCTTCAGGAAAAAGTAAGAGACTTCTTTACAAACCTTTATCATTAATATCTGAGTCTCTCATCCACTTCTTCAAGGAAAGAACCAAACGTTTAATTTAAACCCGGCAAAGAAGGGTATTTCTCCTGGACTGTGGCCAAGAACCCCTAAAAGAACGATGTGACAGTGGAGCACATTTCTCCCTTAAACAGGGCAGAGGAGTGTGTGATGAACTCCGGCGAAGGAGGTGGTCACGTGGCCAGGAGATGGACGGTGCCACGGGTGGACGGAGGGACTCCGCTGGCTTCACTCAAGTTGACTCAAAAGTCAGTAGAGCCCCGCCCCAGTGCTACCCTGTCCCAGCGCATGGGGACTGACATCAGGCCGGATGGAGGGAGGCGAGAGGCCTTGGTCTGCAAAGACCTCCCTTGAGGCGGGTCCTCTAAGGAGGTCCGTGTGGAGGGACGGGGGCTCACTGCAGACAGCAGGACACGTCGCCCTGTAGGGAGTCCAGACACAGATGTTCTGGGAGGTGACCATGAGGGGCATGGGAAGAATTCTGCCCCCACAGCTGGGAGTAGCCTTGAGAGAGCCCCTTGGCGTTCCTGAAGGGGGGTCACAGGGCTTGCTGGGGCCCAGGCAAGCCACCCAGAGGGGACCCCACAAGGTGAGTACTTGGGTGAGACATCAGGACCTGGCAGTGCTGGTGGCACACAGGGCTGTGGTTCTCCCTGCGGATCCGCTCTGAGCTCCACGCAGTGACCCTGCCCACTGGCGGGGGTGGGGGTAAGCAGCCCCGTCATCCAGGGGCCGGGCCAAGGAAGGGAGACCCCAAAGTGTGGCGCCGACAGGCTTGAGCATGGAAGGGAGGACAGACAGAGCAGGCACAGGGGACAGATGCCCCAAGTGGGCAACATCTTGGGGCAGCCCAGCAGCGGGGGCAGGCCCAGTGGCAAGAGGAGGCCACGGGGAAACGGCCTGCCCAGGGGCTGAGGGGACAGAGACGGTTCTGAGCAGGGGAGTGGCTGACTCAGATCTGATTTCAGAAACTTAGAAATGAGATGTTGACTTGGGACAGTGGACAGGCCGGAGAGTGGATGGGGCTTCCGCTAGCACCCCCTGGGGCATAACGAGCTCCTGGGGAAGGCTTCGAGGAGCATGGGTGAAGGATCATACTGGAAAAGGAGCATGACGTCCTGGGACGGCCGGCGGTGACAGCAACAGGACACTGTGGATACATTCACACCACTGAGCTGTGCACTGAAAAACAGCTAAGACGGTCAACTTCACGTTATATATATTTCACCACAATAAAAGAAGTTTCAACAAAAGATGCAGACAGGCACAGACGCTGTGAGGAGACCCTGCTTAAGTTCTGAGCAGCAGCAGTGTGCTGTGAAGAGTCTGGTCTCCCTGTCTTTTCAACTGAAGAATCCAAAGGACCCACCCACAAATGCTGGGTGTGGGCACGTGATCTGAAGTCAGGACGTGGGGAGCCCCAGGCTGACAACCTTCTCTTCTGCACCATGTCCTGCAGGTGGCTGCGTCTCGGTGCCTTTCTCAAAACCTGGGGTGTTTTTCATCTATGGCCTCCATTATGTTGAGGTACTTTCCTTCTATAGCCATTTTATTGAGAGTTGTTATCATAAACGGATGTTGAATTTTGTCAAAGGTTTTTCTGCATCTATTGAGAAGATCATGTGTGATTTTTACCCTTTATTTTGTTAACGTGGTTTATCACACTGATTGATTTGCAGATACTGAACCATCCCTGTGTCCCTGGAATAAATCCCACTTGATCGTGGTGTATCATCCTTTTAATGTATTATCGTGTTTGATTTGCTAATATTTTGTTGAGGATTTTTGCACCCATATTCATCAGCCATATTGGCCTGTAATTTTCCTTTCTTGTGTTGTCTTTGTCTGGTTTTGTTATCAGGATAATGTAGGCTTTGTAAAATGAGTTAGGAAGCATCCCGTCCTCTCCAATTTTTTGGAAGAGTTTGAGAAGGATAGGTATTAAATCTTCTTTGAATGTTTGGTGGAATTCACCAGAGAAGCCATCTGGTCCTGGACTTTTGTTTTTTGGGAGGTTTTTAATTACTGTTTCAATCTTCTCACTACTGACTAGTCTATTCAGAGTCTCTATTTCTTCTTGATTCAGTTTCAGGAGGTTGTATGATTCTAAGAATTTATCCATTTCTTCCAGGTTATCCAATTTGTTGGCCTATAGCTTTTCAAAACCCACAGCCAACATCATACTCAATGGTGAAAAACTGAAAGCTATCCCTCTAAGAACAGGAACAAGACAAGGATGCCCACTCTTGCCACTCTTATTCAACATAGTATTGGCAGTCCTAGCCAGAGCAATGAGGCAAGAAAAAGAAATAAAAGGGATCCAAATTGGAAAGGAAGAAATAAAATTGTCACTATTTATGGATGACATGATTCTATATATAGAAAACCCTAAAGAACCCACCAAAAAGCTATTAGAAATAATTAATAAATACAGTAAATTTGCATAGTACAAAATCAACATACAAAAGTCAGTTGCATTTCTATACACTAACAACAAACTAGAAGAAAGAGAAATCAAGAATACAATCCCATGGATAATCTCAACAAAAAGAATAAAATACCTAGGAATAAATTTTACCAAGGAGATGAAAGACCTATACACTGAAAATTATAAGACATTATTGAAAGAAACTGAAGAAGACATAAAGAAATGGAAAGATATTCCGTGCTCATTGATTGGAAGAATGAACATAGTTAAAATGTCCATATTACCTAAAGCAATGTACAGATTCAATGCAATCCCAATTAGAATCCCAATGACATTTTCCATGGAAATAGAATAAAGAACCCTAAAATTTATTCAAACAACAAAAGACCCCCAATAGCCAAAGCAATCCTGAGAAAAAGAACAAAGCTGGAGGTATCACACTCCCTGATCTCAAAATATGCTACAAAGCTATAGTAATCAAAATAGCATGGTACTGGCACAAAAACAGACACACAGACCCATGGAACAGAACTGAAAGCCTGAGAAATAAACCCATACATCTATGGACAGCTAATTTTCAACAAGGAGCCAAGAACATACAATGGAGAAAGGAAAGTCTCTTCAATAAATGATGTTGGGAAAACTGGACAGCCACATGCAAAGGAATGAAAGTAGACCTCTATCTTACACCATACACAAAAATTAACTCAAAATGGATTAAAGACTTGAAGGTAAGATCTTAAACCATAAAACTCCTAGAAGAAAACAGAGGCAGTATGCTCTTTGACATTAGTCTCAGCAGTATCTTTTTGAATATCATGTCTTCTCAGGCAAGGGAAACAAAAGAAAAAATAAACAAATGGGACTACATCAAACTAAAAAGCTTCTGCAAGGCAAAAGAAACCATAAATAAAATGAAAAGACAACCTAGCAACTGGGAGAAAGTATTTGTAAATCACATAGCCAATAAGGGGTTAATTTCCAAAATATATAAAGAACTCATACAACTAAATAACAAAAAAACCCCAACCTGATCAAAAAATGGGCAAAGGATATGAACAGACATTTTTCCAAAGAAGATATTGTGGGAGATCAAAAATTGGTGACCCTGAAATATATCTCTTTACCTTGATTATCTTCTCTGACAGACATCTGACCTCCCCCAAACTGCCTAAAAAATTTAACGTAGAAAGCCTGTTTCAGGAAGGAGTTACTATCATAGGATGGCTGTAATATAATGTAAAATAGATGTTACAATAGGAAAGGCACCAACAAGCCCATCTTATCAAAAATTCTGTCTCTCTCTGGCCACATTCTCTAGGTGGCCCTGTAAAGAGTTGCCAGACAAACATTTACATTTATAAGGGAAATCTCCATTTGTAAAGGTATCTCCCTCTCTGTCCTGGGGGGTAGGAGGGATGGCCTCTCTAGCAACTTATCAGTGTGGAGGATGAGGCCTTAAATCCGCATACTCCTGATTACTATAATTTCTGTCTCCCTTCTGTCTCCCTCCCCACCCACAACATCCTCCTTTGTCTTTAGCTGAAGGTGGTATTTAAGATGAGAATTGCTGCTATTGTGTTGAGAAACTCAGTTTCCCTGGTTTCTCCCACGTATACATGTTATTAAACTTGGTATTATTTTCTCCTCCTAACCTGTCTTTTATTTATTTGGCCAGCCATAAGAACCTCAAGGGAAAGGGCGGAGGGGGATTCTCCCTCTTTCCTGACAATATAGAGATGACCAACAGGCACATGAAAAGATGTTCAACGTCACTACTTATTAGGGAAACGCAAATTAAAACTACAATTAGATACCACCTTATGCCCCTCAGAATGGTTATAATTAACAAGATAAGAAATAACAACTGTTGGAGAAGATGTGGAGAAAAGGGAACCCTCATACACTACTGGTGGGAATGCAAACTGGAACAGCCACTATGGAAAACAGTATGGAGATTTCTCAAAAAATTAAAACTAGAAATACCATATGATCCAGGTATTCCACTTCTGGGCATTTATCCAAAGAACACAAAAACACTAATTCAAAAAGATGTATGCACCCCTATGTTCATGGCAGCATTATTCACAATAGCCAAGACATGGAAACAACCCATGTGCCCATCAACAGATGAATGGATAAAGGAGATGTGACATATATATATACAATGGAATACTGTTCAGCCATAAAAACAAGACAAAATTGTGCTATTTGCGACAACATGGATGGACCTTCAGGGTATTATGCTAAGCGAAATATGTTAGATGGAGAAAGACAATTACCATATGACTTCACTCATATGTAGAAGATAAGCAAACAAACAAACGCATAGATACAGAGAACAGATTGATGGTTACCAGAGGGGAAGGGGGTGGGGGAAGGATGAAAGGGGTAAAGGGGCATACGTGTATGGTGACGGATGGAAACTAGAGTTTTGGTGGTCAACACGATGCAGTCTATACAGAAGTTGAAATAAAATGATGTACACCTGAAACTGACATAATGTTATGAACCAATGTGACCTCAATAAAATTAAAAAATTTTAAAAACCTGGGGTGAATGCATATATCTCACAGGGTCTGCAGAGGACTGAGTGAGACTTTATGGTAGTGTGGAAGGACCAGTGCTAACACAACGTGGTGATGGCCAGCACTGGGCATGGAGGCCCAGACAAGCTGCCCCGTGGCCTGGCCACAGCAGGAGGGAAGTGCCCCTGTTCTCTGAATGCCCTGCGTTCATGGCCCCATCCCCACAGGTCCCCAGAGGCCAGCTGCAGCCACACACATGGACAGGCTCCTTCCCTCCAAGGCTCCCAGAGGCCTGCAGTGCCCAGGCAGGGTGGCCGGCAGGCCCAGTTTCACGTGTGTTCTAAGGGAAATCCCAAGAGCCGGATCACACTGCCACCTTCCGACAAAAAGCAGCAGCCACTGTCTTCTCAATCTCTGGATGTCTCTTAGCTGATGTCACGGCACCAGGCTCATTCCATGCAAGCTGCCCACAGGTTCCCAGATCAGGGGGACCCACGGCACCCTGCTCTTTAAATACCTGAGGAAGCCCCTTTCCCATCTCAGGCAGCCGGGCAGGTAGGCAGGGTCCTGGGGGTGCATGGAGGGGCTGGAGCAGCCAGGCCGACTGGGACCCTGTCACTCACCATGGCCCTCAACAGCACAACCCCCAGGACCCCACGGCAAACCAAACAGCAAATACAGCCGCTGGGCTCTGGCCCGCCCTGCATGCTAAAGACACACTGCACCACACGGTGGCTTTGTGTCCCTACCCAGAAAAGGCAGGAAAGGGGGCAGGTGCATCTGCGGAGCTGGGAGTCCGGCCCAATCCTGTCCCCACCGGCCCTTCCCTCTCCACCTCAGTCTCCAGCCTACAGGATGGGTGCCTGCGCCTGGGGACTCCTGAGTGCTGACCTGGATTCTTCCCTGGACCCCGGTGCTGTCCATCCGACTGGCCACGTTGACAGTGTTTCCCCAGATGTCATACTGTGGCCTGCGAGCCCCAATCACCCCGGCCACCACGGGGCCAACGTTGATGCCTGAAAAACAGCCAGGGCATGGTGTCGTTAGTGAGGAGAGCTCCCGAGAGCAGGAGCTGCCCCTTGTGGGGTCATGGATTCCTGGGGTCACCTAGCGCAATACCCCTTCCTAAAGCAGGGACCCACCACATCGCGGGAGGTGGCTCCCAGCCCCTACTTGCACACCGCCCCCCCGGCGCGGCACCATCCTGATCCCAAGCAAGAGTTCCATTTCCTGGAACAGTGACCCCATGCTGAGTCCTGCCACTAAGAAGGCTGACCTTCAGTCTGTAGGACCACAGTGTGTCCCCCACCGCAGCTCCCTTTTCCAGAAAGAACCACGGCTTCTGTTTCCCTGGATGGGACCCCATGGACTCTTAGGGTGGGAGAGCCAGAACTGATCACAGTATTTCAGGACACTCTGAAGGGGGGAATGGAGGCCCCCTTCTCTTTACATGGCTCAGAGTCCGACTGGCCTAGAGAGGGCCACGAGGCCTGGGTGCCCCGAATCGCCTCTGCAGCTGTGTCAGCAACTGGGGCTTCCTGGCTGGGGCTAAGGCCACGCCATATCTTCCCATTCTATACTCGTGCGTTGATTTGTCTGAGCTTAGCCAAGGATGTTAGTAACATTTCAGCCACTGGCCTACTCGGTCCCCCAAAGCCTAGGCAATAGGGTGTAGGTGGGTGCAAGAGGAGCGTGCCAGGTGGAACTTGATGGTGTGAGCTGGGGAGAGCTCTGCTGTGGGCCAGGTGGACCAAGGAACCGAAGAGAAGCCCCAAAGGGGCCAACTCCTCATTGGCTGGTGGGATGTGGAGAGCAGCCCCAGCCAACCTGGATGCCCCAGACCATGTGGACGAGACTGAGCCAGCATCCAGATCCCTGTGTGACCAGCCCTCCCGGCACAAAGGCCGGGCTCACCTGCCATGTCCCCATAGCAGAGCGAGAAATAGAATTTCCCCAATGGAGCCTTAGATCTCTTTCCTGTCACGTCACCACATCTAGTAATCAGAGTCCCTGGCCCAGAGGAGGAGGCCTGAAGGCTGGGGGTAAGGCACATCCCTCAGACCAACACCAGGCCCACAACAGAGCTCACATCTAAGCACATCCGAACTCCACCCACTCCAACCCTCATGCTCCAACACAGCTCTCAGGTCTGCTCTGAAGGCCACTAAACGTTTGAATTGTAAAACAACCATCAACAACCATTTTCGGAGCCTTTTTCTCCAGTTGTGTATGGACTCAGAGGTGCATATGAAAGTCTCTATGACAACAGATTTCCCATGTGTTTTGTGAGCTGGACAACAACTCTCCCAGGTCCTAAGCCACTGATGCCCAGCTTTCAGAGGCAGCTGTCCCTGCGTCCCCAAGCACTCATCCGGGTGGCACCACTCTCCTTCCTGCAAGACCAGGGGACCTGGCCCGCTGGCCCCCACTCTTAGGGAGATGACCCAGGCCACCAGCCTCCAGGGTGGGTGCAGGAAGAGTGTGCTGGCCCGAGCGATGGGACGGCTTGGAGCCACGTACCGACACGGAGCACGAAGTCGTTGTAAGACTGGTAGTTGATCTCATCCAGGACGTCGAACATCTCGATGGCAAAATCCGCCAGCGTGCTGAGGTGGGAGGAGATGCACTTCTTAGCCTGGATGTGAGAAGACACGCATTATTACGTTTGGAGGGTGCAAGGGCAGAGGTGGCCAGGGACACTCAGCAGGTGACCTGCCCCGGGGGCCAGCCTGTACTAGTGGCATCAGGGACTTAATCCCACATCAACAACACAGCAGCCCTGCTGACTGTAGGCACTCTCTGTGCCCAGCTGGGGCTGGCTTGGATGGTCTACAACAGGGATTGTGTGGCACTCTATAGCACTCCACATGCTACGGTGCGTTTATCATCCCATTCTACAGGTAGGAGCCTGAGATAGAGGGGCAGTGCTGCCCAAGGCTCCTGGCTCCCGAGAGCAGAGACTGGACTCACCCCAAGGCTGTCTGAGCCCAAGCAGAACCCTTCTGCAGGCACTAGGGGGTGGCTCCTGCGAGTGGGAGACCAGATGTCCCAAGCCCTGCTGGGACAACGTTGTCAGAGGCCCATGGTAAACAAGCAAACAAGTGCAGCGCAGTGGGTTTGCACAAGCGTTCACATGTCAGGGAGCAGTTCCAAGGCTCCTTCCTCACATGGAAACTATCTTTCATTGTTTGGTAGTGTTAAAAGATCCTCTCTTTTGTGAAACAATGACAACATACATTTTTTTTTAATGATATCAAAATGTCTCATTTTTATTTATTTAGGGATATTTTACTAGTCCTCAAAGTTGGGGAACTAATGTTTTTTAAAAAAATTAACTGACAATATTTTTAGAACAGTTTTAGGTTTACAGGTAAATTGAGCGGATAGTATAGAGAGTTCCCATATACTACCCCCCCACACAGTTTCCCCCATTATTAATACCTGGCTTTAGGTGTGGTACATTTGTTACTACTGATGCACCTACAATGATTCATTATTATTATTAACTAAAGTCCACAGTTCACATTAGGTTCACTCTGTGTGTTGTACATCCTATGGGTTTTGACAAACGTAGAATTTCATGTATCCACAACTGTAGTATAACACAGAATAGTTTCACTGTCCCCCAAATCCCCCACGCTCCACCTATTCACCTCTCAACCCCTGATCCTTTCACTGTCTCCATAGTTTTGCCTTTTCCAGAATGTCATATGGTTGGAATCATACAGTATGTAGCCTTTTCAGACTGGCTTCTTTCACTTGCTAATATGCATTTAAGGTTCCTACATGTCTTTTTGTGGCTTGGTAGCTCATTTCATTTTAGCACTGAGTAATACTCCATTGTCTGGATGAACAACAGTTTATTTACCCATTCACCTACTGAAAGACATCTTGGGTTAGTTTCAGGTTTTTGCAATTATGAATAAAGCTGCTATAAACATCTGTGCGCAGGTTTTTGTGCAGGACGTAAGTTTTCAACTCCTCTGGGTAAATGACAAGGACGGGGACAGCTGGATCGTACGGTAAGAATACGTTTAGTTTCATAGGAAACCTCTCAACTGTCTTCCCAAGTGGCTGCACCATTTTGCATTCCCACCAGCAACGAATGAGAGTTCCTGTTATTCCCCAGCCTTGTCAGCATTTGGTGTTGTCAGAATTCTGGATTTTGGCCATTTTAATAGATGTGTAGTGGTATCTCATTGCTGTTTTCATTTGCATTTTCCTGATGACATACGATGTAGAACAATTTTTCATGTGCTAATTTGCCATCTGTATATCTTCTTTGGTGAGGTGTCTGTTTGGATCTTTTGCCCACTTTTTCATTGGGTTATTTGTTTTCTTATTCTTGAGTTTTAAGAGTTCTTTGTACATTTTAGATACAAGTTCTTTATTAGATAGATAGTTTGCAAAGATTTTCTCCAGGTCTATGGATTGTCTTTTCATTATAGTATATTTCACAGAGCAGAATTTTAAAATTTAATTAGATCCAACTTACCAATGTTTTTTTCATGGATTGTGCTTTTGGTGTTGTACAGAAAAACTCATCACCAAATCCAAGGTCACCTAGATTTTCTCCTACGTTATCTTTTAGATGTTTTATAGTTTTGCATTTTACGTTTAGGTCAGTGATCCACTTTGAGTTAATTTTTGTGAAGTGTGTAAGGGCTATGTCCAGATTCATTTCTAAAAAAACAGAGATGTCCAGTTGCTCCAGCACCATTTGCTGAAGACCTCCTTTGCTCCGTTGTATTGTCTTTGCCCTTTTGTCAAAGATCAGTTGACTATATTTATGTAAGTCTATTTCTGGTCTCTCTATTCTGTTCCACTGATCTATTTGACTATTCTCTTGCCAATACTATGCTGCATTGATTACTGCAGCTTTACAGTAAGTCTTGAAGTGGGGTAGTGGCAGCCCTCCAACTTTGTTCTGCTTCTGCTAAATTGCTAACTACTCTGCGTCTTTTGCCTCTCCATGTAAACTCAGAGCAGTCGGTCAATATCACAAATCACCTGCTGGACTTTTCACTGAGATCGTGTTCAATCTTCAGCTCAAGTTGGGAATAACCGACATCTTAACAATACTGAGTCTTCCTATACAGGAACATTAAGTATCTCTCCACTTATTTATATTTCTTTGATTTCTTTCATCAGAGTTTTATAGTTTTCCTCATAGAGATATTGTATACACTTTGTTAATTTTGTACCTAGTATTTTATTTTGGGGAGTGCTAACGTAAATGGCATTGCGTTTCCAATTTCAAATTCCACTTGTTCATTGCTGGTATACAGGAAAGCAATTGACTTTTGTATTTTAAGCTGTATCCCGCAACCTTGACGTAACTGCTCATTATAACTATTTTGTTGATTCTTTTTTATTATCTACAATCATGTCATCTGTGAACAAAGATAGTTTTAGTTCTTCCTTCCCATCTGTACACCTTTTATTTCCTTTTCTTGTCTTACTGCATTAACTAAGACTTCCAGTATGAACGCCGAATAGCAGCGGTGAGGGGGGCATCCTGCCCTGCTCCTCATCTTAGCGGGAGGCATTTTTTTCTCATAATTAAGTATGATGTTAAGCTACAGGGTTTTTGAGGATGTTCTTTATCGAGTTGAGAAAGTTTCCCTCTATTCCTAGAGTTTGCTGAGAGCTTTTTTTTTTCAAAATCAGGAATGGATGTTGGATGTTGTCAAACGATTTTTCTGCATCAATTGCTATGATCATATGATTTCTCTTCTTTATCCCGTCGATTTGGGGAATTTCATTAATTCATCTTGAAATATTGAGCCAGCCTTGCATATCTGGAGTAAATCCAACTTGTTTGTGGTGCATAATTCTCTTCATACATTGTTGGATTCAACTGGCTAATATTTATTGGGGATTTATACATCTATATTCATGAGAAATACTGGCCTGTAATTTTCTTTTCTTGTAATTTCTTTATCTGGTTTTGTTATTATTGTAATGCTGTACTCACAGAATGAGTTAGGATGTATTTCCTCTACTTTGATATTCTGGGAGAAATTTTAGAAAATCAGTATAATTTCTTCCCTAAATGTTCAGTGGAGTTCACCAGTGAACCCATCTGGGCAGTGCTTTCTGCTTTGGAAGGTTATTAACTATTGATTCAATTTCTTTAATAGATATATGTCTATTAAGATTATTTATTTCCCCTTGTGTGAGTTTTAGTAGATTGTGTCTTTCAAGGAATCTAAGTTATCAAATTTGTGGGCATATAGTTATTCATAATATACTTTTATTATCTTTTTAATGTCCATCAGTTCAGTACAAATGGCCCCTCTTTCACTTCTCATATTAGTAGTTTGTGTTTTCTCTTTTGTTCTTGGCTAGCATGGCTAGAGATTATCAATTTTATTGCTCTTCTCAAAGAGCCAGCTTTTGATTTCATTGATTTTCTTTACTGCTTACCTGTTTCCAGTTTCATTGAGTTCTGCTCTAATTTTATTATTTTTCTTCTGCTTGCTTTGGGTTTACACTGCTCTTCTTTCTCTAGTTTCCCAAGATGAACGCTTAGAGTATTGATTTTGTATTGTTATTCTTTTCTACCACAGGCATACCTTGTGTTATTGCACCTCACTTTACTGAGCTTCACAGATACTGCACTTTTTACAAGACCCTCCACCCGCGAAAAGGTCAAGACTCGCTGAAGGCTCAGATGATGGTTAGCATTTTTTAGCAATAAAGTATTTGTTAATTAAGGTATGTACATTGTTTTTTAGACATAATGCTATTGCACACTTAGACTACAGTACAGTGCAAACATAACCTTTATCTGCACTGGAAAACTGAAAAACTTGTGTGACTCACTATATTGCAATATTCACTTTATTGCAATGGTCTGGAACCAAACCTGCAGTATCGCCAAGGTGTGTCTGTATATGAATTCAATGATATAAGTTTCTCTTTAAGCACTGCTTTTGCCACACCCCCAAAATTTTGACAAACTGCATTTTTATTTTATTTAGTTCAAAGTATTTTTTAAATTCCTCTTGAGACTTCATCTTTGACCCCGGTGTCATTTAGAAGTATGTTGCTTAATCTCCAAATATTTTGGAATTTTCCAATTATTTCCTATTATTGATTTCTAATTTCATCCCATTCTAGCCTGAGAACATTCTTTTAAATTTGTTAAGGTGTGTTTTATGGCCCAGAATGTGGTCTAGCTTGGTAAATGATCCATCTGAGCTTCAGAAGAAGTATGTTCTGCAGTTGTTGATGGACTTTCTATAGAGTCTATTATATCCAGTTGATTGATGGTGCTGTTCAATTTTCAACTATCTTTACTGATTTTCAGCCCGTTGGATCTACCAATTACTGAGAGAGGGGTGTTGAAGTCTCCAACTATAGTAGTGGATTCATCTATTTCTCCTTGCAGTTCTATCAGTTTTCACCTCACATACTTTGATGCTCTGTTATTAAGTACATAAACATTACAGATTGTTATGTCTTCTTGGAGAACTGACACCTTTATCACTGTGTAATGCCCTTCTTTATCTATGATAATTTTCCTTAACCTGAAGTTTGCTTTGTCTGAAATTAAGATCGCTATGTGAATTTTATTTATTAGTGCTAGCATCATATCCCTTTCTTCATCCTTTTATTTTTAATGTATCTGTGTCTTTATATTTAAAGTGTGTTTCTTGCAGAAAACCTAGTTGGGTCTTGTTTTTTAGCCACTCTATCTGTCTCTGTCTTTTAATTGGTGTATTTACCATTCACATCTCAAACGGTTATCGATACAGTTGGATTAGTATCTACCATATTTATAACTTTTCCATTCATTACATATTTTTTTACATCTTCCTCTCTTTTTCTGCCTTTTCTTTTAGGGGCAAGCTGAGGACTTTATTCAGTTTTGCATCAGGAAAGGGGAATACTCAGTGACGCCAGGCTGGCAGGATGGGGGTGTGGCCAGCAGGGTGGGGTTGGCGGGGATAGAGGATGCCCATGTGACTGGCCCTTGTGTTGACTGTCCATAGGAGATTGTGTCTGGAGAGAACCGGTCACTGACAAGATAGCCCACAGGCCACTGCCCTAATCCAATGCAGAAGGCAAACGGGGCCCCGAGCCAGGAACCTGTCCAGGTTCCCAGGGCAGCTGGGGGCAGAGCTGGGACCCAGTCCCTGAGCACAGCTCCCCTAGACAGCACTCACCTTGGCCCCGGCTGTGGGCGCCAGTCCCACCGCGGCCATATAGGTGCTGCCAATGGTCTTGATCTTCTCCAGGTCCTTGTAAAAGTCTTTGTCCATGAGCTTTGTTTAAAACACAAAACTGTTAAACGTTACATAACATTTTAGACAAGTCACCGCAGCGATCACCCACCAGGAGCAACCACAGAACGGAGCAGCACATTCTGGAAAGCAATATGTCTTCTTTGAAGTGGGCATGAGACAAGATCTGGGGCTGAACTGAGAAATGCAGGCCTGAGGGGAGTCGGTGAAGGCGTTTGAAAGAGGAGCCAAGGGGGAACATGAAGACCACATCCCCACCCTCCAGCAGCCAAGCTCTCCATCAGCCAAGAGAACAGGTCCCAGTGGGAGGGAAGCAGGACCGGTCATCTGCCCATTCAGGAGATGAGGCCGCCCAGCCCAAGCCCGGCATTTACAAGGTAGGGGACAGGTGCCAGCCCCAGCATGCGGAGCCCAGGGCCCGCCCCTCGGTCCTCCTCCCCATCCTAAGGCAAAGACCCTTCCTCAACTGTCACGGTGGGTGGGATTCTCAAGGAGACAAATGGATGTGCTTTCTCCCCATTCCATTGTAGGGAACGGGATGCATCGCTAGCAGGATCCAGGACTCGGTTAGGAGGAGGGTCGTTCTCGGCCCTGCCCCGTCCCGAGGGAGCCAGGACGCTGAGGCGGCCCTTACCTCGTCAAAGTCAGCGATGATCTCGTTGAGGAGGCGCAGGCACTCCACCCCCATGTTGTTGCCGTCCAGCTCGATGTAGAAGTCATTGAAGTTGGGGATGGAGGCGAACATGACGCCTACCTGTGAGTACGACTGATAGTAGAGGTCCTGCGGGTCAAAAAGTCGGGTCAGAGCGGCTGGAGCAGCCTTCAGGGCTGGCTCTGGGACCCCCAGTACAGAGGAGGAGGGGCTCAGAGGGCTCTAGGACCCTGTGGTGTCATCCAGCTCACAGGTCGGTACAGATCCCTCTGCAGCCAGTGTCCAGCTCTTGTGCACAGCAAGGTGAGGGGGTGCAGATAGGGACCCAGGGTTTTAGGAAAACAATGCACTCTGCTCGGCCCCAAGGACCAGCTGGATGAAAAATGAGTCCTGGAAGCTACTTCAAGCCAAAGTCGGTCAAGCTGAACCTGGGGGTTGTGCCCCTAGGACCTAAAAAGCTGACCGGAGCCTCTTTACTTTTGAATCAGCACTTGTAAGTCCTGCTCTGTGCTGGATCAGGAGCTTGCTCAGCAGGACACGGCAGTCAGGAAGTTCTGAGCCCCCAGGCTGCACTGAGGCTGCTCTCCTGCCTCACAGATGTGGGTGCTGTGTTCTCTCCTGGGCTCAAAGGGGAGCACACACTAATTCTGGGGCGTTGGTCTACCCGACGTCCCAGGAGCCTCCTGGCGGCCCAGCACTGACCCGACCTTGGGGGTGGGCAGAGAGGCCCACTCACCCTTGAGGTGGGCTGAGGGTTCAGAAACGGCCACTGCAATTTTAAGCAGAGAAGTAATGGAAGGGTCACTCAGGGTTGGATCTCCAGCTGCAGGCCTGTGACCCCGCCAGACCCGCCAGACTTGATGCCCTGCAGGGCCTCAGCGCCCGGAAGCAGGTGCCATGCGGGCCGCATGCTCACCATGTTCCGGGGGTTGGACATGAGGAAGTGCTGGGCGACGTGGGCCGGCAGGAGGTTGAAGAGAATTCTCTTATTGTCCAGCTTCACTCGCTCCATGTCGTCTCGCTCCTCCTCTGCCTGGGGATGGTGGACCCTGTTAGTCACTCCCCACCCACTCCTGTTGCCTTCGCTCACTCAACCCCCACGTGACAGATTCTCTCCCACACCAGACTCTGAACCCTCTTCCCAACCGGGCCCTGACTGCAGGGCGTCCATGTGCATCTCTGCACTGTCCAATTTCAGCAAGAACCCTGCGTAGTCAGCTTAACCAGACTCCCCATCCTTGACAGCTGATCACCCCGATGTCTGATCGGGTTCCTCATCCCCCAGCCGCCCCCAGATGATGTCTCATCACCCCGGCCTGCCTTCAGCAAGAATCCTGTTAGGTTGGTGTAGCCAGAAGCCCCCTCACCCCTGATGTCTCCTCTCAGTAATTTTCCATCCACTGACCCCCTATCCTGCTCCTTGGCTATGAATCCCCACTTGCCCACGCTGTATTCGGGGCTGAGCCCCATCTCTCTCCCCTGCTGCAGTGGCCCCAGCACCTATGACAACCATCCTGAATAACGTCTGCCTTACCATCTTGAAGGAGACTCATGAATCAGTTCTCCTTTAACATGCGCTTCTTTCTAATCATCCAAACTAAGCTCCAGCTGTGCTGAGGGCCCACGCAGGATCTTCTCCATCCCCCACCAGGCAGAGTGACCAGATCACTACAGCTCCAGCTGTGCTGAGGGCCCACGCAGGCTCTTCTCCATCCCCCACCAGGCAGAGTGACCAGATCACTACAGCTCCAGCTGCGCTGACGGCCCACGCAGGCTCCTCTCCATCCCCCACCAGGCAGAGTGACCAGATCACTACAGCTCCAGCTGCGCTGACGGCCCACTCAGGCTCCTCTCCATCCCCCACCAGGCAGAGTGACCAGATCACTACAGCTCCAGCTGCGCTGACGGCCCACACAGGCTCTTCTCCATCCCCCACCAGGCAGACTGACCAGATCACTACAGCACCCAGAGGACCCATGACTTTCTAGATAAGTCACCACCCCAATCAGCTGGAACTTTCAAAGGACAGACGATGGCAGGCTTCATCCCCATTTCCAGGGTCTGCCCCTGGCTACCTTCTGAGGACCAGATGCTTACAGCAGCTCTTTCCAAGGCACACGCCTGCTCCCAGGTCACACCAGCCCCCAGGTGGCCTCCGACGTGCCCTCAGAGCACCACCAGTGGCTCTGCCGCCCGCCTCGCTCACTCAGAATGCCCAAAGCCAGGCAGCGCACGCCTCCCCAAGCTCCTATTCCCTCTAGAACCTCTCCCCCTTCACCAGGACTCAGTCTCTCTTGGCGCCGAGACAAGTAGAAAGCTGCAGGGAGCTGGGATGGGGGCAGATCCAGCGCCAAAAGGAGTTCAGCCCAGTGCTGACTCCCCAGAGCAGGGGTAGAGGCCAGTGGGTCCCACCAGGAGGACTCGGCACAGCAGACAGCAGGTACGGCCCGAGTCCCAGCTGGCAAACCTCTGACCTCCTGGACCTTGCAGAGACCAATGAAACCAACAGCGTTGGCCTCACTCATTGGCCACTGTGAGGGCTCGAGGCGCTGCTGGCAAGGTGCCAACAACAGCCCGTGGTCAGGCACCAACCCTCAGACGCAGAAGCCATCAGGGTCGCCATTGTTCACTCAGGGATCACTGTTGTTCACTCACCCTGGCTTCCACACATGGCACAAACCCCACCAGTAGAAGGAGCTCAGCTTGGGGAACATCTCTGGGTGTGTGTCAGCATTACGGGGGCATCAGACTCTCGAATGTCATAACAGTGGTGCAGGGACGCCTCATTGGTGGCCTGTGGCCTGGCCATCAAAGCTGCGGCCTGGAGGTCAGCGAGCCTGGTTTGTGTCCCACTTCGTGGATGGTGACGTGCTTTGATTTCCTCAACATAAAATGAGTATAAAATATCCATTTTTAGAGACACTATTCCTACTTATCAAGGGGTTAGGAGAGCGCTTGCTACCTAGTAAGCCTGGAAAAGCAGCTCCTCTTTGTGGTGTCATTCTACTAACAACAACAGCTGAGCCAGCTGGTTATAAGCTGCTGATGTCATGTAGTGATTCTACCAGTTAGAAGCGAGAAGTGGAGATCCCCACAGGTGGCCGCAGAAGCCAGGCATGAGCACGCCTTTGAGCACTGGGGACAGGGAAGCTAGGATGAGGGACCCTGGCTCCCGGCCTCCTCCAGGACATGTTCTGGGAAAACAACCCCGGGAGGTCCCCAGGGGCCATTAGTTATCAAAGAGACTGACCACACAAGAGGTTTCATCCTGCTCCTTAAGGCAGGGACAGAAGCAGCAGGTGAGCACAAGAGAAGGAGCACAGGAACTACAAGATCCTGCACAGACGAGTAGGGGCTCTGCAGATGGGAGGCTGCGGCCGAGGGCAAGGTCAACGTGGATCAGCAGATACAGTGGTTGGGAAGAGGAAAGGATCAGAAGGGAGCCAGGGAGCTCTCCATGACACATATAGCCAATTACCTGCTAACACGGGTGCGCTCACTTACACAAAAGAAAGTTTTTTGAAGGATAAGATAAAGAGGAAGTAAATAGTATTTTTAAAATAACAGTTTTATATTTATTTATTTATTTAATTTATTTTAATTGTTTTGTTGAGGTCATATTGGCATACATTGTGTCAATTTCAAGTGTACATCACTACATTTCAGTTTCTATATAGACTGCATCATGTTCATCACCAACAGTCCAGTTTTTATCTGTCACCATACATACATGTCCCTTTACCCCTTTCCCCCTCCCCTCTCCCTTCTCCTTTGATAACCACTAATCTGTTCTCCTCATCCATGTGTTTATCTATCTTCCACATATGAGTGAAATCATACGGTGTTTGTCTTGCTCTGTCTGACTTATTCCACTCAGCATAATACCCTCAAGGTCCATCCACGTTGTTGCAAATAGCACAGTTTTGTCTTTTTGTTATGGCTGAGCAGTATTTCATTGTATATACATATGTCACATCTCCTTTATCCATTCATCTGTTGATGGGCACAAGGGTTGGTTCCATGTCTTGGCTATTGTGAATAATGTTGCCATGAACATAGGGGTGCATACATCTTTTTGAATTAGTGTTTTTGTGTTCTTTGGATAAATGCCCAGAAGTGGAATACCTGGATCATATGGTATTTCTAGTTTTAATTTTTTGAGAAATCTCCATAATGTTTTCCATAGTGGCTGCACCAGTTTGCATTCTCACCAGTAGTGTATGAGGGTTCCCTTTTCTCCACATCTTCTCCAACAGTTGTTATTTCTTATCTTGTTAATTATAGCCATTCTGATGGGCGTGAGGTGGTATCTAACTGTAGTTTTGATTTGCATTTCCCTAATAAGTAGTGATGTTGAACATCTTTTCATGTGCCTGTTGGCCATCTGTGTATCTTCTTTGGAAAAATGTCTGTTCAGATCCTCTGCCCACTTTTTGATCAGTTTGTTCATTTTGTTGTTGTTGAGTTGTATGAGTTCTTTACATATTTTGGAAATTAACCTCTTGTTATATGATTTGCAAATATTTTCTCCCACCTGGTGGGTTGTCTTTTCATTTTGTTGATGGTTTCCTTTGCTGTGCAGAAGATTTTTAGTCTGATGTAGTCCCATTTGTTTATTTTTTCTTTTGTTTCCCTTGCCTGAGGAGAGACAGTATTCGAAAAGATACTGCTAAGAACAATGTCAAAGAGCACACTTTCTCTGTTTTCTTCTATGAGTTTTATGGTTTCAGGTCTTACCTTCAAGTCTTTAACTCATTTTGAGTTAGTTTTTGTGTAAGTGGGATAAGATAACAGTCTACTTTCATTCTTTTGCATGTGGTTGTCCAGTTTTCCCAGCACCATTTATTGAAGAGACTTCATCATTGTATGTTCTCCATTATATGTTCTTACCTCCTTTGTTGAAGATTAGCTGTCCATAGATGTGTGGGTTTATTTCTGGGCATTCAGTTCTGTTCCATGGATCTATGTGTCTGTTTTTGTGCCAGTACCATGTTATTTTGATTACTATAGCTTTGTAGTACATTTGAAGTCAGGGAGTATGATACCTCCAGCTTTGTTCTTTTTTCTCAGGATTGCTTTGGCTATTGGGGGTCTTTTGTTATTCTGTATAAATTTTAGTATTCTTTGTTCTATTTCCACGAAAAATGTCAGGACTGCAGTGAATCTAACAGTTTTATATTTATTAATGGCACAAAAATTTTGCTCTCTCCAAAATACTGTTAATGTTAATAATATTTTAATAAAAGAAATGTACTGAATATGCCTCAACTTTTTAAAAAGAATCTTGTTTTATCACTTTGTGATGAAAAGTTCTGGTTCTAAATTCAGTTTATTTCAATTTATTTACAATTTACCTAGATTTATGAGCAATCAGATTAACTCTCTTCCTAAATCATCATCTATTTTTTTTTTTTAAAGATTTTATTTATTCATTTTTTTCCCCCCAAAGCCCCAGCAGATAGTTGTATGTCATAGGTTCACATCCTTCTAGTTGCTGTACGTGGGACTCGGCCTCGCGCTGGACGGAGAAGTGGTGCCTCGGGGCGCACCCGGGATCCGAACCCGGGCCGCCAGCATCAGAGCGCGCGCACTTAACCGCTAAGCCACAGAGCCGGCCCCATCATCTATTTTTTAATCCATCCACAGAAAAGCTTTGTGTTGAAATTTGATTGATAAATGCCTATCTTCTTACACACTAAGCAGAAGGAGTTGTACTGTTATATTTTTAATAAATAAGATAAAATCCACTGAAATTCTCCTTTTGTAAGATTTTCCAACCACCCAGGAAATGCTAAGTATTGGTAAGAAAGAGTTGTTGTGGGTGACATACATTATTCCTGCCAACAAAATCACATGACAGAGACACATCAATACATGTTTTCAAAATGTTCTCTCTATGGCATAGTTTCTTTCAAAAGGTATTTCCTTTCTCACGTGTCAAAAATCTGACCTCTGACTTTAAGGGATAGATTATGGGAGCTTACGTTTCAGAAATTATTTACCAGGTGCATCTGTTGACAGTTACGTGGCTTC